TAATGAATTGATTTCTCTAGGAATAATAAAACATAATTTATATAAATATGTGGCAGTTCAAAACCAGTTTCCACACATTCTCATCAAATCCACAATATTCAATGTAAAATAAAAGAAACTATATCCTATACAAAGTAGAATCTGAAATAAAATTTTACTATGAGGAACTGAAATCTTTAATGCACCAATTCTTCTAATTTTTGGCAAGCGTCTTTTCATGGCATTTTCCCCTTCCAAAAGAGAACAATTCACTTGCTCTGTTTTAGAATACCAATTTCTTAGAATCCTAACAGAATTATTTTAGGATATCATCATAACCATTTATTAAGCAGTATGTTAAACATCACGTTAATATACTTAATCTCTATACTCCAGTAACATCTTGTGTTTACAGGGATAAGAAAGGAGGTGCACTGCAAATACTACCATTTGAGTTTTAATATTTTTTGTTGTAAGAAATTATAAGATAAATATTTTCTCTTTTGAGGAAGGAGAACAGAAGAAAATAGGCGAGAATAAAAAAACACTGAAAAAGATGAAGAATGTAGGAGAAAGTCAAGTGAGAAGAGATGAGGATGGTAAAGTGAAGAAAACTAAGTTAGAAGAAACACCTAAAAAATAAAGACAACAATTATACATATTTAAAAAAGAGAGAAAGCACATGGGTGTTAGCCAACAGTGGTACTGAATCCACTCAATGAACTACTCCTTCCAGGGAACAGGATAAAGGCGGGGGTGGGGAGGTGGGTAGGGATTGTTAAGTTTTAATGGGTCACCATATCTCCATCCATTCTGATTATATTGGCTTCCCTTTCAAACAATACTCGCCTGTTGTTCTGAGGTTGAAAGAACAAGAGGGTGAAGAGTCACAAATGAGAGACTAGAGTGAGAATAAGAGAATAAAGGAGACACTGCTGAGAATTATATAAATGAAGTCAGAATGACCTTTCCAGATAACTCAATAGTTCTTTATCTCGATCCCTTTTCCCACCCCCTATGACATCACCTGCATTCTTGTTCAGTAATGTTTACCATTTAGGGGGTAACAAAACCCACTAGTTTACAGTGTTCATCTTCCATCTCTTACTGATCACTGTCAAACACCCTGACTGTTTGTTGTAGGCTATCTTCTTCGTGACTACCCCAACCTGGTTATTTTCCATTCCAGTAGGCTTTATAGCCCCATCTATTGAACCCTTTCTTGCCATAATGTAATCACCAGGTTCCAGAAGACTTTCCAAAGTAATAGTGAATATGTTTTAGTATACACACAAAATAAAAGGAAAATTTTCCAACTGCTCGATTCAACATACCCCATCCAACCACATACCCCATTCTTTTCAACTGATATTCCTAAGAAGAAAGTATCTGTTTTTAGTATGGATAGAACTCTTTAACACTTACACACCAAAAACAGCAAAGACATGAAATTTTAACAGATTCATTAGGATATGCCCAAATAGATTTAATAACTATAAGTAGACTCATCAACTAAAAAAAAAAGTGTTAAAAGTGCATCATGAGGGCAGAGTTGTTGGTTCAAACTATGCCGAGGTATCTCCCAGTGAGGAATGTAGTGGCAGATGAAGTAGAAAAAATCTTGGGAGATTCCAGCAGCCTTTGAGGAGTTGGATCTTCACTGGCAGGGAAGACATGCAATAGGACTCAGTCTGCTTTGCTTGGATGTTCATGATTTTTTCTTCTTCCTACCTGGCAGCCAGTTTCTCAGCCACAGAAGTATGTTGATTAGAAAAGCTTAAAAGCCACTTATAATAAAGAATATAGCAACGTGAAAAAGGACATAAAACTTCCAGTTTCATTTTAAATAAGAAAAAATATATATATTTTTAAAGAGCAAACTATAAATATACACACACACATATCTAATTGAACATCTTGAAGATATACCATACTAGCAAGTTCAAAAATAGTATTTGAATTCATCTGTGATTATTTAACTTTCTCAGACTCTTAGGGGAAAATTTCACATTGCTTTTCTAGGTATTTCATAAGAAGAAAAGTAGTCAAATTTTATATTGTACATTACTACCTATAGCAGTATGAAATTTTATAATTATAGAAAAATACTAACTGAGCTAATAACATTCAAAACATAAAATTGAACATTACTCTTTTCATTCTTGAACCTATATTGGTGTAGAATAATGGCAATATCTCACTATTCTGGTTAGTTAAATACTGGATTAAAATATGCATTTCAAAAGCATTAGGTAATACTTTAATGTAAATATATCATAACCAGCCCCTAATATCCCTGGTTATGAATGCAGGGACAGAAAGGGTAACTGTAGACTGCAAATAACTTATACTTGTTTCAACTAATTTATCGATCTATCAAACTTTTCATAATAATGTCCATTCCCCCACCTTTGTATATTGTCTCCTAAGAAGTAAAAGCCACTGCACAGACCACAACAGGGGTAATAGCAAGAAAGAGAGGACACAGTAGGGTGCATTTAATGATAGATACCATTCATGCACAAATATGCCTCAATTTGAACAAAAAGAAGGCAATCTGCTAATTGATCACATTATTAAGGAAGGTCACTTTGATGGAATTCAACATAATTTCGTGTCAGACAATGTCTCTATTATCATCCAAAATCAATTTGTAGGTTGCAGTAGCAGTCTGCTAAGGACTTGGACTCCAATTGGCCCAACTGTTGTAGTAGATAAAGGGAGGTTGGAAAGTTAATTTCTGTGGAACTTCTAACACATGCCTGGCGTTGTGTTCTATGTATCTTGTCTATCCGGAGGAAAGGAGTGAGTGAGGATGTAGCAGTAAAGTTAAATTTCAACCCCATTTCTAATTTCAATTCAGCTGAACCACTGCCCAAGTTATGTAAATTCTCACTTCCTCTCTTCTCTATCCTTGGCTCTGCGTAACCTCTCCCTGAATCTTAAGATTTACTTACAGGATTGTGGGAATTCCTCCCCTTTTGTTTGATAAACTTACAATTTGAGTTTGGGGAGGGAGTATAATAAAACTTAAGTAAGAGCATGGACCTTGGAGTCAGTGAGCTTTGAGCTGTGGGTGGGTTAAATAATCATTCAGTCTCCACATACACCTTCTTAGGATTATTGTGAGGAGCAAATAACATAAAGTATGTGAAGGACTTAACATGATGCTTGGCACATTGTAAGAACTCAGTAAGTGTTGGCTCTGGTTATTATTATTATTTTTTGGGGCTCTGGTTATTATTATCGAAAAGATAAAACTCAAATAGTTATCATGACTCACTTAAAACTATAAGTCAATTTCAGAGCAAAAACTGAAAGCAAGTTCCTCCAACCATCATTCTGTGTAGTTTCTAATATTTTAGAATATTCCTGCAATAGAAAGATGTGTTGACACATTCTCATAGTATTTAAAAATCACCAATCCTTATAGATTTTATTGGTTCACTTTAAGTCTTTTAAAGACTTTCATATTCAACAGACATGAGAATCTTTGCTCCACAAAGAGTATCCTTTTAACAACTTTATTTCTCATTAGAGACTAATTTCTATCCTCTTAGTATTGACCAACTGGAATTGGTCAAACTATCCAACAGATGTCATATTTGCTAAGGTCACATTGTAGAAGTGGAGGCAGCGTGAATATCAGAAGGAGGAGCTGCCAACCTACTGAAGCAGCTGTTTTATCCCACTGCCCAAATCCTCATCCTAGAGGACAAGAAACTTTACTCAGGACAATCACTTTGTACTGTATAGTTTCTAGTTATGAGAACTTACTCATCACTAAAACTGTCACAGAGTGGAAGGGCTCCGTTGATTACCAATATTCTCCATTTATTAGCCTCAACTAGCTAACAGTAATTAGTATTAACTTTACACCCCACACATGTAATTTTCATACTTTCATTAACTTTTACTCATTAGAAAATGAACTTATTGAAGAAATATCATAAGTTTAATTATCAGTGTTCAGGAGCCTCTCCAAGATATTACAAACTTCTCATTCAAACCAAATTTAAAATAGCATCTGCCTTAATATAAGAATCACTGAGGAAGATCAGACTTTTCACATGAGTCTTTAACCCTCCAAATATAGCCTTTCTTCTGTGACTAGAACAGGTAAAACCAAATTTAGCTAAAAGGCACAGTAGGAAATAATTAATTGCTTACTCTGAAGAGTCAGTGAGTACTAAATAGAACATTTACCAGGAAAAAAATGTTTTTCTTTTAAAATGTGGATTATAAATCAATAACCAGATTATTTTAATGTTAACTTCACTTTTTAAAAACCATATATTTTATTTTGTCAGAGATAGAGCAATTGAGATAGAAACTAGTCCAAAATGAAAATCATATGATGTTAATTTTTAAAATCTAAGATTAAGAAAAATTGCCCTTGAAAATCTACCATAGGCACAGAATGTCATTGTCATTCTCAGCCTGGAAAGGGAATCATGAGGTTCAAAGAAAAAAAGATTATGAACTTATTTAGTTAAGTGCAATAGTTTTAAAACTTAAACTATAGTTCTCTTTTGGGAAATGAACAGCCAATTCAGCTACTAAAATAAAAAAAAAAATGACATGAAAAGAAACCAATCTGCCAGATACTTTAATGAACAAATCATTGTTAAAGTAGATAAATAAAGTAGAATGCATGGTGTTATAAAACATATCTACTAGGTAACTTGATAATTTTTTTAAATGAAACTTAAAAGTTAAAAAATTGAATTTGTAGGCACTGTCACTTTAATTTCTATTCCAAAATGGTCATCCCAGTTCACGGGGTAATATTATTCATATAGAATTGTACATCTCACATCAGTCACCACCAATAAATGCTCATGTTTTGCCTTATGAAATTTCTTAAGATAATTAAGAAAAATAGTCATTCAGTTATTTTTCAAAAGGCTATTTAATTATTTTGTACACAAACAGGCATTTCATTTCACTGCATTCTTTTAAAGACTTAAGCAATCTTTGTATTAGTTCCTCCCACTGACTTGTAAGGTAATTATACATACCACAGTCTGATGATTAACTTGAATCACTTCATCGCCAGCATGGATCTTCTTGCACCGATCTGCAGGTGACTAAATTAAACATAAAGAAAATGATAAAGAACATAAGTTTTATCAATCATTTCCTCTCTATGGAAACACTACCATAAGTTCACCCCTGTAAATTAGATCGAGCTTAATTATATTCTTCAAAAAATTAAACTAAAAAAAGGTTACTGATATTTGATATTTAATTCAGATGACCATTATATCTACTACTGTGGGCAAGAATCCCTTAGAAGAAATGGAGTAGCCCTCATAGTCAACAAAAGAGTCTGAAATGCAGTACTTGGATGCAATCTCAAAAACGACAGAATGATCTCTGTTTGTTTCCAAGGCAAACCATTCAGTATCACAGCAATCCAAGCCTAGGACCCAATCAATAATGCTGAAGAAGCTGAAGTTGAACGGTTCTAAGAAACTCCAATACTCTGGCCACCTGATGCGAAGAACTGACTCATTGGAAAAGAACCTGACGCTGGGAAAGATGGCATGAGTAGGGGACGACAGAGGATGAGATGGTTGCATGGCATCACCAACTCAATGGACCTGAGTTTGAGCAAGCTGTGGGAGTTGGTGATGGACAGGGAAGCCTGGTGTGCTACAGTCCATGGGGTAGCAGAATTGGACACAACTGAGCGACTAACTGACTATTTGATATACTATTTGTATTCTATAACTAATGACAGAAAGCAGGAATGTAAGACAGTATATAGATATTTATGTTATAAAAGACCATTATGTTTCTGAGACCATTAGGGAAAAATGATAATAGCAAACTGTAAACAGGCAACACTCTCAGTAGTTCTACTGGGCATCTGGTTCAAAAATATATATGTCAAAACATAATCTTTTAAAACTTTGGTCTTTTTCATTTAATACAAATAATTCACATTAACTTCAGCAAACAAATATTTTCAGGTCCATCTGTATGATCAGCACCAAAGCTTTGTCAACTAATGATTATATTGCTAATTTATTTCATCATTAATACCATCAATTCTGAATACATGAGAAAAGCAAATTGAAAGGATAGCCATTAGCTCAAAGTTACATTAAATAACATTCTTTTCAGCATCTAACTACAAGAGAATCCTATTTCTTATGTTTCACACAGCATAATACATTGGCAAAACCACATTAAATAAACTGAAATGCCAACACTCTACAGGATGTAACAATTTTATCATTTTTCCTCTTTATTCCCCAAAGAGATCAAAAACAAAAACAGACAAGGAAAAAACTAGTAAACTAATATTGCCAATTTTTCTGAAGTTTTTAGAAAACTAAAATGAGATTTAAGATAGGAATTTCATAATATTGTAGTAAGGATAAAGAATTTAAAATACTGTACTGTTCTCTACTTTCCCTCTAATGACTATTGATTATGCATATTAGACATTTTAATGATAATACACATATGGGCTTTTGAATATACAGAGAATGTATTTTATGAAAAAAATGTATTTGTGAATTTATATATGTGTTAATTTATCAAACATAACTATAAATACTGTAATACAATTCATTAATATCTATTGAAAGGAAAAGAAGGATGATATGGTGATGGAACTTGCAAAGTAAAATGCTACTTTAAGACACTGGAATAGGATTTTCTTTAAAAATTATTTACTAGAATCCAAGGTTAGATGGTATCTCAGGAAATTCCACTTATTGAAGGAGTAACATAGGCACACAATCAAGAGGGTAGTTTACCTAGGATGTGAACCCAGCTCTAAGAATAGTGTCACAACAAGAAAAAAACAAGCATTTATTTTACAGCACCTACCAAATCAGACAAGACCATGTAACATTTCTGTAAAGTTTGTAAATAAAGCTGTAACTATAGAGTCTGTCCCTGTGCTATTTGGCTTACAACTGATCTTTTTAAACGAGTGTATGGAAAAAAAAAATCAAGTCAATGGCTCTAAGTCATAATGTAAAAGAGCTTGATAGCTGCTACATAAAATTCAAAGAAACTGAAACAACTTTTTGCACAGGGAAGTGAAAAAGGAAACAAGTCATACAAGGTATAGACTTTCAGTGTTAAAAGTTATCCTAGAGAGAGTTTATCCAAATCCCTAATTTTACAAAGGAAAAACTAAGAAACTAGTATACAGCAAACAAAATAACTTACCCACTTAGTGAGCAGCTTTACTAAGACTCAACACAGATCTAATGATAAATGGTTTAGGGTACCAAAAATAGTGAAGTAGTTTCAAGAAAAAAGAATTAAATGATGAACTAGTAACGTATCGTTTATATCTGAACTACTCATAGAAGCAATCCTTCTTCGGTCACTCATCCATTTATAAAATATTACTAATTAATATAAACAATGCATAGTGCTCAACTTTTTTTTTATAGACTCCATACAATGTAGAGAGATATGTTTTGATTAATTCTTCAGGATACAGTTAGTTCAAAATAACCACTTCTGTGATTCCTTCCTTGTTTTTGTTTGGCAGCATTTACTATTTTTTCCTTTGTCCATCTATGCAAATTTCAGTATCTGTTTACACAGATAAATCTGTACTTGTATGCCTTAGGGGCAGCAAGTTAGTTTAATTTAAAATTTTTTTCAATACCTAGTTTCAAGTCTGGAACACAGCAGACAGACATGAAGCAGAGTTTTGCTAAATGAACAAATGATCAAACAAATGATCAGAGGAACGTACACATGAATGAGAACGATCAATCAGTGACAAGAGTATAGTTTATAAGTATCTCACTGCCTTTAAAAATGTTCAACAGTTGATAATATGCAAATAACATATTTTTGATCTCAGCTAACTCTTATATTTAATAACAATGAGATGCCAGTACAAAACTGCAACTTCAATGTATTTCACCATTCACAAGAAACTAAGTGAAGCAGAGGGGGAAAGGAAATCAACAAATGGTTAAAGTAATAGGTGAATTAGATGAAGTAATATTGTCTTTAAAAAAAAAACGCTGGTAAAATGTTGAGAACATAATAACTTGAGATTTAACTAACTTAACCTCAGTCTTCTTTGAAGGAACATGGTATAAACATGATTTGTCAGAATTTCTAAAAGAAAAATATTCGAAGCTCAAAACCTGCTTAAGAGAGTGGGATGGAAATCTGGGACAACCAGATGCAGAAATAATGACTTATTATGCAACTCAAATCTATTATAGTGATCATGTTAATGTCCGACATAATCATTTCACATTTCTGTAGCTCTTTCTTTATAGTACAGTCTTTTATATTTACTGTCTTATTTAATTTTCACAACAACCTAGTGAGGTATGCAGTACAGATGATATATTATTTACGATTTATAGTTGAGGACGGAGAAGGAAATGGCAGCCCACTGCAGTACTCTTGCCTGGAGAATCCTGTGGACAGAGGAGCCTGGGGGGCTGCTGTCCATGGGGTCGCACAGAGTCGGGCACAACTGAAGCGACTTAGCATGCGTGCATAGTTGAGGAAATTAAAGCAGTGAGAGTGTAAATGACTCGCCAGAAATTACACTGCCAACAAAATCAAAATTGGGTGTACAGCCTAGGCCTAGTGACTCTGACCTATTGCTTGCAGTAATTCTCAAACTGGAGCATGTCTCAGAACCACCTGTTAAAAGAGAATCTCTTATTAAAAAACAGACTGGTCTCCAGAGCTAATTCAGTAGGTCTGGGGTGGGGCATTCCCAAAGGAAGCTGATGCTGCTGGTCCAGGGATGGACTTTGCTGTGAAAACTGGCTGATCTATATACCATGCTGCCCTCTCACTGAATAAAGTTCAATTATACTTCAAGTATTCAGGAAACCTGACTTATCTGATGTTTCTTTCTTACATGATTTAAGTTTCCCAATAAAACTACACTATTTGTCAGATGGAGGTGGATTCTTTTACATGTCACAATAACTTGTCATGAGTCAGAAAATACTTAACAAATCTCTGGCTTTGAACACAAAACATCTGATTTACTTCAGGTAAACAGCTATTCTAAACTAACAAAAATGACTGAAATTCTCCCCAAATAAGTGCTTACTAACTCAATATGTCTTTTTAGTTGTATATTGCTTATTTCCTCAGAAGTCAACCAGAATTATGTAAGTGCCATAAGTTGGTTAACAATAAAAGAAAAACATACTCCAAAATTTGAAATGTTAGAATACTTACATTTTCTGTAGTTCCAGTAATTACATGGAGGCCATCATATGTTGATTTAATATACATACCCTAAAAAAAAAAAGACAGCATAGGAAAACAAATGAAAACGCAAATATTTTCAAGGATATTATAACCTCATTTACAAAAAGAATTGCCCTATCAAATTAAAATTGCCATTGCCCCAGGGATGAATCCATGATTCAATAAGGCTGTCTTTAAACTTTAAGAAATTCCTATCTGAATGTTCTGGCTTCTGAAGTTTGCCTGAAGAAGCCTGTACTCAGCTTAATCAAATGATTACTTGAAAAGTGAACTTACAAAATGGATCATGGTAATTCAATATCCTGAACACATAGTTCACTCTCCTCAAAATCCATACTACATGTGCTGTGGCAAAATAAAAGTTACAATGGGAGATTCAAATATTCGGATATTATTAGTTTATTATACTTGATACATATTATACAATAAAAAGTAGGTTTCTATAGAGCCACTATAGAACTACTGGAGACAGAAGAATGATAAAATATTGTTTATATAAAATTTTTTTTCTGTTCCTCTTTTGTGGTATCCTACACATTCTGTCTTAATCTTATTGCTGAAGTTTTAATAATTACATCCAATGACCTCTCTATCAATAATTAAGAGGTAGAATTCCCTGGCAGTTCAGTGGTCAGGGCTCCACACTCTCACTGATGAGGGCTCAGGTTCAATCCCTGATTGGGGAATTAAGATTCCACAAGCTGCACAGTGTGACCAAAAATAAATAAATATTTAAAATTAAAATCATAATAATATTAATTTAGAGGTAATGTGTGGCACCCCCTCCTCCCAATAAAAAAGAAATTCCGTTTCCATTTAAACAAAGTGATTTCAGAAAAAGCTTCATTAAAGATAAAATATTATCTAGAAATCTTCAAATTATTCAAGTTTTAAGAATAAATGAAACCTTTAAGTTATGCACAGTGACAGGACCCTAAAAGAAAAAATATCACAAGAAAGGATTCACATTTTAAATACTGAAATATTTTCATTTAAATAAATCAGAAAAAAACAGATGATTCTCTGAATGGCCTTTTTTCCTAAGGAACATTGTTAGATAAAAAATTTACTGAGTTTTACTTTGAAACTACTTTGCATCTCAACTATTGATTTCAAAAATTGAAAAATGCTAACTTCAAAATAAACCTGAAACCTGAAATATAAGGGACTTAATAACTAAGAACAATCATTTTGGAAAAAGCAGACATTTAAGTAATTATGTGTAGACATTTGCAGTGTTAATTTCCTATACCTGGATGTTAATATTTTGACATCTAAATTTACTTGTGTATTCACTAAAAATAACTAAGAAATAAAAACAAGAAGCAATAAGTTCATGGCATGGAATTATTAAGAAGTCATTGGGTACGTTTTAATTCTGAAAAGCCAGTTCAGTAATGTCATATGTCTAAGATGTTGGTATCAGTTCAGAGAATGTTTAGCCTGGATCTCTTAATATGAAACAAAATAAATGTAATTTGACAAGATGTTCATTCATCTGTGAATTCTAATTTTATATGAAAGTTCACCATTTTATATGAAATACATAACTAACCTCAACAAACATACAAATAGAAATTAATTAAGAAATTGGTTAGTTCTTGGCTATAACCATATGGTAATATTCAACCTTACACAGGTGACAAGTATATGACATACTTTATTTAATCCCATTATTTATTGGAAGGTAATACAACAGTACTACTTAGAATGGGACAAGATTCTTGCAATCATTTTTCCCATGGGAGTTAACCAAATGACATCAAATTAATAAAGGATTTTTAAAGTACATTTGTAAGAGCTAAACACTAAATTTTGTTTTAGTTTTTTTATACAGAAGGATTGTGAGACGATTAAGTGGAAAAAAACAGTGAAATAAAACAATATATCAATATATAACTTGGACATACACAACAATCATCACTCATCATTATCCATCACTATCATCACTAACAGGTACTTGTTACAATCTGCTAAGGACTGTGTTAGTGTGTGACATTTATTTACAAGAGTCTGTGTGGTACACACTATGATTATCTCTGTTTTAGAAATAAGGAAACTGAGTTACTGACAGATTGGGAAGGTCTGCCAAAGGAGGTGAAGCTGTGTTTTGAGCTCAGACGATATTCTCAACCATGAGGCTCCTAATTTACAGATTTATTAACAGAAGGCTTGTCCACCTTCACTTTTCTTATTAGAACAGAATATTTGGAAATTGTAGATACTGAGTCAAACATTGACTGTTTAACATCCACTCTAAAAAGATGAAGACCTCTCTAGCACACATATACTAAGTTCAATGTGGTTATAAAAGAATAACTGGGTTTGACCTTTTACAGATTTATTTTAATCACCCATCTCTTCTGACAACTTCAAGTAAAAGTTGATTATATTTCTCTCCACACTTCTTTTAACAGTGCATTACTGATTATGAATTAAGGTGTTTGACAAGAGCTCTATATAATTTCTTAAATAATTAAGTCATAGAGAAAGTCTAGTCTCCTAACATAAATATTTAGAAAAGTCATTATATTCATCAGGATAATAAGAACTCATGGAGATAATCTAGTTATGACTCAGGAAATGAATCTGTATGCAATTGCTACACATACCAGGAACTTTTAAAATGGCAATTGTAAGCTAAAACAAGTTATCAATTAGTTATAGGAAGAGGATTTCATCATTATATATAATTAAATGTTGTGTAATTTATATTAAAGCTAATTTTTTTAGATGGAAAAAATGTATTTTTAAAATATTTAAATAAATAAGGATCTAGCTATATATACAGAGTTCAGTTTTAGCAACTTCATAGTTATGAAAAATAAACCAGAAATAAAACATATTTTTTAAGCCACATAGAAGGAAGATATTTTGTTTTATGCAACAAACCATTCATTGTAACTGCTTTTCATAATCAAGACTGACTTCTTCAGCTTTTTAATCTTTCTGGTGGTACTAACGAGGAAAATGGCCAAAAGTCAGGCACAAAAAGAAAGTAAGAGAAAAAACAAGTTACTTGGATGAGTTACAAACTAATCATCTTCTGAATAATGAAGTGTTCACAGAAATACATCTGATCACTTGGTCACCTCTCAGAAAGGGTCAAACAGCAGGAGGACATGTAATTCAAATGGCTGTTTTTCTGGGACTGAGACAAATCTGGTTTTCCATTTCATCTAAATCTTCATTCTTCCTTTCTTTTTTTCTTTTAAAGCAATTAATTAATTCTGGAGCTGACTCCAACAGCTCCCTGTCTTCTGTTCAGCTTGCCAAAATGACATTTGCTTCACTGTCTCCAAATGGCAGTTAACCAATGGAGCCAAAGCAACCTCACAGTCAAGTCAATGGAATAAAGCATTTTATGAGTGAGTCCAAGTGCCTAAACGGCAAAAGAACTCTCTAAAGCAAAGAAGCTTCCTCAAGGTTGCTCCCTAAGCCCTTTCCTCTCTATTCTTTCCATCTCTTGGCTCTGATCTAGTTTTGATATGTTCCAACAGCTCTCTTTTTCCTTCCTTTAACTTTCTGCTAATTATTGTTATTTAAAAGCATTTTAGAAGCTAGCTTGATATATTTTAACCATTACTAAGCATAATGTCTACTATTCCTTATAATGCTCAGGACTCTCAAAAGTAAGAAATCCTAGGAAATTTGACTACTTAGGTAGAAAGTTGATGAACAATCTATCTAGTTTATCCATGCAAGAATAAAGCCCATTACCTTTTACCTATGAGAGATGTTCCACTTTGAAAGAGGAACATTTGAAAGAGGAAAGACCATCTGCAGATGTTTGAAATTGATTAAACTTCATTAAAGCTTGGTATTCTCCCATGTCTTTCTGTTTCTTTCCTTCATTTAAACACTTCTATGGCTAAGCTCATGCTGAATGTCACCCAAATCCTCAAATCTATTTAACGTGACTGACTAAACTTAAATCAGGTGATTGATTTTTAAAATGATACCTTAAGTAAAGTTATATAAGATTTCTATTTCATCATCTCCCCTTTAACATGAATCACATGAAATGGTTTTATACATAACTCCTTTTATTAATATTCAACATATTAGCTTTTTCTTTTTGTCCCTTGGAAATATTTTCCCAATGAAATGCTGCTGATTACCCTTTTAAATGGATTCCTCTAAGTAGTTCTAATTTTAAAGTCATCCTCCTAAACTTCTCTCACCTCCTTTTAGCTACCCCAAGTTTAACTGTGGGATAATGGAACAAACTTTGGTAAATTGCACCTCATTTAGATTTACCTGGATTTTATCTCTGCCTCTGTTGTTCGTTACCTTAATGTCATACACGGCAAACTGGTGAGGATCTGTGATACCAGAGTTATGAGGATGATACCTGGTAAATGGTAGGTACCCACTTCTTCCTTTTCTCTACCAGTTCTCTTCCAGAATAACTGAATCTGGTTCGTGGCATTTTAAATTCATGACTATTCCAAAGAGCACATCCAGCTCTACGTACTTGAAATTTAAAAAATAAAAGACTTATCAAAAATCAAGGTTTCATCAAGTCCATAAATGAGCAATGTGTTGACTCACTTCACATGGTTATTTTCACCTCATTATTTCAGTGGAAACTAGAGGGAAAAATCAGGCTTTTTTCTCAAAACAGTACTGTCCTCAGAACTGCAAATTTAGAGCTACAGGGAGCTTTAAAGAGGATCTAGTCCATCCCTCTTGCCCCTCACATTCTACAGATGAAAATATCACAGCCAAGGAGGTTTAATTTACATCCTCACCGCTCCCATATCCCACTCACAGCTCTATTTTATGGAAATGATTTGTATCCAGATTTTCTGTCTCCTAGTCTAATATTACATAGAAGTAGTTGTAGTTAAGTTGTGAAGTCATGTCCGACTCTTGTGACCCCATGGGCTATAGCTTCCCAGGCTCCTCTGTCCATGGGATTCTCCAGGCAAGAATACTGGAGTGGGTTGCCATTTCCTTCTCCAGGGGATCTTCCTGACCTAGTAATTGAACCTGGGTCTCCTGCATTGCAGGCAGATTCTTTACCAACTGAGCTATAAGGGAAGCATAGTAGCAGTTCATAATTCCTTATAGTGCAAATCATGCTTAAAGAACTTTCTTTCCTTCAGAACTACTAAAAGGGGAGATTTTAAAGAAAGGAAATCTTTAAATACTATGGGTAGAAAGATGCTTTAAATAAAACCGGACTTTGTAAAACATAACCAAAAGGAATAGAAAGGATTTAAAATCATAAATATTACTTCAAATAAGTTTATAAACATTAAAATAAATTCTAAAACTAATAAAAGTATAACTAATAACACTTATAGGTACAATGATGACATACTTTGGCTATATCTGAGATGCTGATTTCCATCTTTCCAGGAAAATACAGATACAAGCCACAAAAAGACAGGGAGCTATGATTACCCAAAAGTAATTTGTTAAGTATCCAGATTTTCTCTGGATCTATAGATCTATCTATAGATCTCTCGCTCTATAGAAAACAGGACTTCAAGCCAAAAAGCTCACTGGTGACCAATGAAGGCACTGCCCCCACAAACAGTTATATATATATACATACATACACACATACACCACACACACATATACAACTGAAGAAGGAAGGTCACATAAAAAGTTAAACCAACACAGGGATCTATAAGAATATATTATCTGAATTACACTGTTAACAGTAGTTTTTAAGATTTCAACTTTCTAAAATATCCTTAGTAGTACTCTTGGAAAATTCATCTAAAGGGAGAGTAGAAACACTGTAGCACCAAACTATCATGAAATAGCTCTGTAGTAGGTAAGATTTCTCCAGTCAGTTTCTTGTTGTTTTTCTTTTTTGTCTCTCACTTATTAATAGCAATATTATATGTTTTCTTTCTAGAGGCTCATTAAAATAAAAGGTATCCCTTGGGTTAAATTTAGAGTCAATACAATTTTTAATCAGGTGAACAAAATATAGAAGATTATCTTTATTATGACATAATAAAAAATATATCTCATAGATGTTAGCCTAGTTTTAGTGATATCTACCTGCTTACTCACCCTTAAAAGAAAGAAAAGATGTGAATTATAAAGAATATTGGGTTTATTTAGCTTATACAACCTAAGGGAAGAGAGACCTATTCAAACGAACAAACAAAAGCAGAATAAACAGAACACTCATTTGCATCAGCAGGTAACACTGCGGTTTTTATTACAAAATTCTTAAATTTCCTATAAATCTAAGGAACGTTGATAAGAGTTAAAAATGTAGCTAAAGCTAATTTATTTACCAAAGTAAACAGGCTAAATCAGAAATCACTATTTTAAATTTTCTTTCATTTTCTTTTATCTTTATAAAACTTTTTATCATGACTAACTCCCACCACCTCAATTCCTCTAGGGAAAAAAAAAAAAACAACTATTCACTCTGTTAAAATTAATGGATTCTCATATTTGGGGGCTGCCCACCCATACTATTAGCTGTCTGTTGATGGACAGTAGTTTTGATAAACATGGTTTCTCTTACCAGCCCTTCACTTGGTTTGATGTTTGCCAGCTGAATCACTTCAAGGTGGGCAGACTGTGAAACTAGAGGATCTGATGACAGGGATATGATGTGGTCACAGACTCCAGAAAGAGTTTTACACTGAAAACAAACAAAAAATTATGGTCAACACATGTTGTAAATAACATATAAATCACTTTTTATTGTAATATCTTTTACAAGGGAAAAGAAAAAATAGAAGAAGGTACTTGGCATTTTATTTTATAAAATCTATATAAAAAAGATATTCAGGTTAAGAAATACACACACACACAAAACACATCTATATCTAAATTATAAATATAAGAGCTACACATCAAAATTGGAAGATCTCCTGGAGAAGGAAATGGCAACCCACTCCAGTATTCTTGCTTGGAGAATCCCATGGACAGGGGAGCCAGGCGGGCTATAGTACATGGGATTGCAAAGAGTCGAACTCGACGGAAGCGACTTAGCATGAATGTATACATCAAAATATTCAGGAAAGTTACGGTTATGTTTTGTTTCTATTATTTGATTCATCAGATCTAAAATGAAATGATTGTTTTGAAACAATCTTAATAACCTGAACACTTCTTGATACCAGCCACTGGATGGAAGAGAATTCAACCCAACTTCAAAAGCCTTGAAGGTTTTTTACTTCATGATCAGAAAAGTTAAAAAAATCCAACCAAAATCCATGGAAAATGAATCTCCCAAATCTGCTTGGTGAACTCCTCCCTCTCATTTGTCTAGACTCTCCTTCTCAAGGTTACCTTTCTGTAAACTCCCCGCTTCCTCCAGGCAAAGTTTGGCACTCCCTCAAACTGGCTTTCTCAATGTTCTATGAACTGTCTGAAACTGTATAACTTCATTCAGAAGCCCTCTAAGGCTAGGAACATGTCCTACTCATCTCTGACTTCTCTTCCTCCCCTACCCCTGGGAGACAGATCCTAGAACATTTGTTGCTGTTGACTGAGGACACAAAATTAGTGCTTAAATTAGGATAAATCTATTCATACCTTCTATCCATTTCTAACATGTTACACTTGCTCTGTGACCACTGCATTACTCTACTTAGGGGCGTCAGTTCCTGCAGGGCTCTTGCTGCATTCTATACATGCTCCACGCCCTTGGCCTCTGCTAGGTTCAGCGTTCTCACCCCACAGAAACTGCCTGGCTAAATTTCTCCCCCTTATTGCAGCCCTGCCCTTTGCATCTGCTTCTCATGGCTGCACATTTACTGTGGCTATCAACCCCTAAGGACAGGCCGTGGCCAGCACGGGAAGCATCGGCTTGGTATGAAGAGATGTAGGCAATCACCACACTGCCAGTTACTTGCTGTGTGTCTGTGAGCAAGTTATCCTATATCCTTGAAGTTCAGTTTACACATGTAGAAAATGAGGTAATAAAAATTACTTTATATGTTTTACATGACAAATCAGGATAATGAATATATATTTTAAAAGTCTAATATGGTTCCTATCCAAAGAAGACATCAAAGAAATGTTTATTCTCCCCTTGTTGCTTTCTGTAAGCTCAAAGGGCTCGGTTCTCACTCATGGGATAAATTATCTTATTATTATTAACTCCATGGCCTTGCTAATGATGTTACAATGACCAGTTATCACAGTGCATGGTCATAATGGGAAGTTCAAATCTCTTTACTCTCTCTGATATTCAAGTTTCAGCGCTTTCAAGAGATACAGTGAAGGTATTTAGCCTGAAGGGCTGCTCAGCAGAGTGCCAACAGGAAGACTACCTCTCAGAACTACAGGGCACTGCACAGGGCGCGCGTCATGGGCATGTGACTTGTGCACAAGGGCCTACATTTAGTATTACACTCTGCCGGTGCCATTTTGGCATTCGTAATTATTTTTGAACAAGGAGCTGCATATTTTCACTTTGCACTGGGTCTCACATATTATGCAGCCCATCCTGGGACTGTAGTTTCTGTGTTTTTTGTTTTTTAAATTTCTTTTGAAAATACTCATCAGCAGCCACAAGGAAAAAGACAGAATGGCAGCCCTTCACAAAAATGTCTATGGTTCAAACTGCTACTGTTTGATGGGAAGAAAAGCAACTGGGGCAGATTTAAATCTTTTAACTATTCCTTTCCTTCCTTAAGTGGTTCCATTTTCATTCTTATTTTCTCTCTGTCTCAAGTGGCGGGGGACAGGATGGATAACACTGTTAATATGAAGGGTTTCTATATAGAATACTTGAATTGCATGATAATCTGAAAATAAATAGGAAGGTAAAGAATATATAAAAATGGCTCAACATGTGTGTACTGCAACACTCAAGGCCTCATATAACACACTAGTAATGAGCAACAGTAGCTCTCCTATTCAAGCAATGGAAGCACTCAGAAGTGGAGTAGGAGGAAAAGCAGAAAAACTACATTGTAGGTGTTTTTACAAGAAAAATACCAATTAAATCTACCATATTAAGTTGCAAATCATTTTTTCAGATTTATCTACTGAGTAATTTTATTTGTCAAATGCCTGCTATGTTCTACGTCTGCTGGAAATACGAAAAATGAGTAAAACATTGACTTTACTAGCAAAGCTATCAGGGTTTAACAGATTAAAAACTTTGGAAAAAATAATAGAAAGATTTAGAAAAGAAACTTTGCTAGAACCCTGCTCCCTGTTTGAGAGATAATGTACTAGAATCTTTATATTGTAGCATTTGGCACTTGGTTCAATAAGTCAATTAGAAGGGATACAAAATGGCTTGGTTTCATATGCTAATTCTATACTCATTACTGTATCATACATCAAGCCACTGCAGGAAACCACATTAAGGGTACTACACTAAAGTTCCAAGGAAGTTACTGTTTTTATTTATTTGTTTACTTATTTACTGAATTTGAAGTAGGGTTTAGAACTTCTTTTTCTTTTATTAAAATAATTTTTAAGGGTCATTTTCCACTTACAGTTATTATAGAATATTGGCTAGATTCCCCATGTTGTACCACACATCCTTGAGCCTATTTTACACCTAACAGTTTGTACCTCCCACTCTCCACCCCTAGATTTCTCTTCCCTCCCCCAGTGGTAACCACTACTTTGTTCTCTATATATCTGTGATTTGGTTTCTTTTTTGTTATATTCAGTAATGTGAATGAAAAATACTGTCTGCCATATCCACAAACAAAGGATGCGGAGGCCACCAAGCCCTTAGCCACTGCAGCCACCCTCAAAGGTGCACCTGAGGAGACTCAGGATGGAAAAGAAGAGGGTGCTGGCTAAGGTGTGTATCAAAAGAATCGATTTCAGTGAGCCGAGACTCCTGCATCTTCCCATACAGGGCAAGTACTAATTTTGTTAACTTGAGATGTTTGGTTTTCTTTAATTAACAGTGATCTTTTGATGTTCCCTAGTCTTTGTTGCAAAAACCCATATATACCCTGGTTACTCCCTAACCTCTTGGGAGCTGTCCCTCAGAACTATTTGAGAGGCTGCCTCTAGGACTTGAGTTCTCAGACAATCCACCGAATAAAACATAATTCTCAACTTTTCGGTTTTGTATTTTATTCAGTTGACACTAGTCTGTTGTAGATTTTAGATTCCACATGTAAGTGGCATCTAAAGTATTTGTCTTTCTCAGTCTGACTTAGGTCACTTAGCATGATGCCCTACATGTTCTTGTAAAAAGTTAATTTTTCCCTTCAGTGAAATTGTAATATTATGCCATCATATTAACACAAAGTATTATCTATTGCTACCTAATAGTATATCCCACAAAAAGAAAATTAGCTATAATATACTAAGAAAATACATTCTTTATTATTAAAAGTTAACATCAACACTACAGAGCACCTACCATGTATCCTGCACAACGCTAAATACCTCATTATTTCATGCATCTTTTCAACAACTTTCTGAAGTAGTTATTATTATAGTCAGTTTAGCAGATGAGAAAGCAAGGCTAATAACTCACTGTCTTGGCAACAAAACAGTCTGACTTCTTAATCATTACCCTTACCATCTCTTCAATCCTTAAATCTCCATTTGTTGCTGGTTAGTTTCATTTTTTTATTATTTAAAATCTATGTTAGTATTAAAGGGACGTAATATAGCATGTTTAAACTACACAGTATAATGAAATATAAGGTGTGCCTACAAGTGTTCTTGCAATTTATAATACAGTTTAGATAAGAACTAGTAGACTTGACAGTATGTAAAAAGCAGCTCTCTGGGAAAACCTGCAATTTTAGCAACAAAAAAGACAACTCTATTCTAGCTAGAAGATAACTGCTAGCCACTTGCATAAAGGAGATTCACTATTTTTGCAATATTTATATCAAAGGACTTTAAATTCTACTTATCTTTAGTTCTAAAAATAGAAACAACTTTTAAAATTTTAAATTAAAGCCTAGTAAAATAATATGTCTTTAGTATAAAGGAAACATAAAATGGCAATGAGTATTATAACTGATCCTCTGGATTCTGTTTATACTACCCAAAATGGCGAGAAAAGATTAGTGACTGAATAACAGTTAGCAGACATGGCTAGCTAGGATTTAAGAAACTTTTAATGGTATTGTCATTTTTTTTCTCTCCAGTTATTTATATAAATTTCAAATTCGAATTAATATAATCATATAGTATATTCTCATATAGTATATTTTCATCCTCTATCCTATACACATAGTATATTTTATATAGGTTTGCATATAGTGTATGGCTGGTTCACCTAAATCTAAAAGTTCTTAGGGGAAAAAATATCTGAACATAGCGCATTTAGTATAAAACAGTGGTTTTTAAAAAGTCATAAAAGCAACATTTCAGTCACTGTGAAAATTTGAAAAACAGCAATTTTACAATAATATACTAACCAATAACAGAGCATTATTTCAGTATCTCTGATGAGCATTCTTTCATTATCACTGAACCTGTCAGACACTTTTTAGATTAATATGTGAAATAAACTATAGTATTTTTAAAAGGAAATGGAGAAAGCATTCTAAGTGCAAACAACAGTGAATAAGGAAGGAGTAGGTAAGAAGTTTTAAATCAGCCTCTTAGCCTGGGAGCACATTGAGCCAGACATGAATAAGCTACTTAGTAATTTTATGCTTTTCTAAATAAGTAGAATAGTGGATAGTTATTCTT